CCGTTACCCGCTACCACTCGTCCCCGAGCTGTTTCAGAGGCTGAAGTCAGCATCTGTCTTCACTAAACTAGACTTGAGAGGTGCCTATAATTTAGTTCGTATCAGAGAGGGGGACGAGTGGAAGACAGCATTCCGTACCAGATTCGGACACTTTGAATACTTGGTTATGCCCTTCGGCCTATGCAACGCCCCTGCCACCTTCCAACATTTCATAAACGATGTGTTCAGGGACTACCTAGATATCTTCGTCATTGTATACCTGGACGATATCCTTGTCTTTTCCCCAACCTTGGAGGACCATAGAGGTCACGTGAGGCGCGTGTTAGAACGGCTCCGCCAACACAGCTTATATGCCAAGGCAGACAAGTGCTGCTTTGAACAGAGTAGCATTTCGTTTCTGGGTCTAACCATCTCTCCCACGGGAATAGCCATGGATCCTCAAAAGGTTTCGGCCATTTTAGATTGGCCAGCCCCCGCCGATAAGAAAGCGGTCCAACGCTTCATCGGCTTCGCGAATTTCTACAGAAAGTTCATTAAGAACTTTTCGGGCCTAGTGTCCCCAATCACCCAGCTGACCAGGCAGGGGGTTCGCTTCCAATGGACACCCGAGGCACAGAGGGCTTTCGAAGCCTTGAAGGAATTGTTTACGGCGGCTCCTATTCTGAGCCACCCTGATTCGTCCTTGCCATATATCTTGGAGGTGGACGCATCCGAGAATGCGGTCGGGGCGATCCTGTCCCAGAGGAAGGGCATCAAAGAACTCATGCACCCAGTGGCTTTCTTCTCCAGGAAACTGACTCCTGCGGAAAGGAATTATGATATCGGGGATCGGGAGCTCTTGGCGATTAAGGTGGCACTAGAGGAATGGAGATACTTGTTAGAAGGGGCGGTACACCCAATATTGATTTTTACGGATCATAAGAACCTAGAGTATCTGAGGACAGCTAAACGTCTGAGGCCACGTCAAGCCAGGTGGGCGCTGTTCTTTTCACGGTTCTTTTTCCATATAACCTATAGGCCAGGGTCCAAGAACACAAAACCAGACGCGCTCTCCCGCATGTTTGGGGATCCCGAAGAGAACCCCAAGCCAGACACTATCCTGTCCCCAGGAAATTTCTTAGTTCTCCAATCGGAGCTCCATTCTCAACTGCAGACCGCGTCCGTAGGAATGCAAGGTCCACCTGGGGTTCCCTTACTAAATAGGGAAGGACTTTTTTGGAAGGAGGATCAGATTGTGGTCCCTGAGGAGGCCCGTACATTGGTATTAGGATACTGCCACGATCACCCGCTGGCCGGGCACTTCGGGGTACGTAAGACCTTGGAGCTGCTGCAGCGTACTTTCTGGTGGCCTAATATGGCCAGGGAGTGCGAAACCTACATTAAGACCTGTCCCGTGTGTCAGAGAAACAAACCCACTAGGAATAAAGCTTGGGGTCTCTTGCGCCCATTACCCATTCCCGACAGGCCATGGACCATGATTTCCATTGACTTTATCGTGGAACTTCCACCTTCTCAGGACCACACAGCAATCTTCGTGATTGTGGACCGCCTGTCCAAGATGGCCCATTTTGTACCCTTAAAGGACACACCTACGGCCCTTGAAACAGCACGTGTGTTTATTAAGGAAGTAGTAAGACTCCACGGAATTCCCAGGGACATTGTATCTGACAGAGGGGTTCAGTTTACGTCCAGGTTCTGGAAAGCTCTATGTGAAACCCTGGGGATTAAGTTATCGTTCTCTTCTGCTTATCACCCACAGACCAATGGCCAGACGGAGCGTACAAACCAGACCCTAGAGCAGTACCTCAGGTGCTATACCACCTTCCTCCAAGATGACTGGGTTACTCTCCTGCCGCTTGCGGAATTCGCATATAATAATGCAAGTCACTCTGCTACTAGACAGTCCCCGTTTTTCGCAAACTATGGGTTCCACCCTGTATTCCTGCCAGATCTAATCCCAGAGGTCGCAGTCCCAGCCACGCAGGATATGTTGACCTTTCTGTCAACCAATAGCAAGGTATTGCAGGAGCAATGGCAAAGGCCCAGGATGACAACAAGAGGGCGTTTGATAGGAAGAGAAGAGGGGAATTGAGTTTGCGGCCAGGGGACCAGGTTTGGTTGTCCACCGCAAATTTAAAAATGTCCTGCCCTTCAAAGAAATTGGCTCCCAAGTTCTTGGGGCCTTTCCGGGTCAAACGTAAGGTCAACGAGGTGGCATACGAGCTGGCACTGCCCGAATCTATGAAGGTTCATCCGGTCTTCCATGTGTCCCTGTTGAAACCGGCAACTCCAGACCCCTTCCCGGATCGAAGGTCTAAGCCACCGGAGGCAGTAGACGTGGATGGGGAGGAGGAATTTGAAGTTGAAGCTATCTTAGATTGCAGGAAGAGGGGAGGCCAAACTCAGTTTCTGGTTAAATGGAAAGGATATGGGGCGGAGGAGAATTCATGGGAGCCGGCCCAAAATGTGCACGCCCCAAGGCTTGTGCGGGAATTTTTTCGGAACCAGCCGTTGAGTAGGGGTCGGTTGGGCATCCGGAGGTTGCCCGTAGGGGGGGGGGCAATGTCAGGGATCCCGGGTCCTCGGCGGCGCGCGCATGCGCAGACCGCCGATCCGTCCCAGCCGGCGAGCGCAGAATCCTCGGCGATCGCGGCGGCCGCCGCGCATGCGCAGTAGCGATCGCGGCCGCACCAATGGGAGAGCAGGGCGCCCTATTTAAAGCTGCCTGTGCATCTCCAAGTTGCCGCAAGGTCTCGTTCCTGTTTCTGTAAGTACGCTTCTTGTTGCCAAACTCTGCCTGTCCTGTTTATGCTGACCTTCTCCTGCTCTGACCCCGGCTCGTCCCTGACCATCCTTCTGCCTGACCTCCTGCACCGCGCTGCCCGCTACCTGCTGAACCTGGCTTGTGACCCCGACCATTCTCCGCTTACTCCCCCGTACCACGCTGCCCGCACAATACCGACCCGGCTAGTCTGACCTCGCCTACTCCTGATAGCTGCCCATCCATCCCGCTCGGATCAGGATCTGTCATCCCATCCATCCCGCTCGGATCGGGATCTGTCATCCCCTTCACAGCAGGCTCTACCCGGGCACATACCCTCAGCGGGACCCTCTGCCACCGCCGGGGGTGCCCAGGGACGCGACCTGGTTTCAGTCTTGCACCAAGTCCATCCCCACCATCAGGGGCCCTGGTGAAAAGGCAGACTGGGACTTAGACTCCGCGTCCTGGAAAACCCCGTGCCGTGGACCACTAGAGATCCCGTTGGGCGGAGCCTGACAGGGATGACTGCGGACTCTATGTACGTGAGAGGAGTATTAGTGGGATGACTGCGGACACTATGTACTGCAGAGGAGTATTAGTGGGATGACTGCGGACACTATGTACTGGAGAGGAGTATTAGTGGGATGACTTCGGACACTATGTACGGGAGAGGAGTCTTAGTGCGATGACTGCGAACACCATGTACGGGAGAGGAGTATTAGTGCGATGACTGCGGACACCATGTATGGGAGAGGAGTATTAGTGGGATGACTGCGGACACTATGTATAGGAGAGGAGTATTAGTGGGATGACTGCGGACACTATGTACGGGAGAGGATTATTAGTGGGATGACTGCGGACACTATGTGCAGGAGAGGAGTATTAGTGGGATGACCACGGACACCATGTACAGGAGAGGAGTATTAGCGGGATGACTGCGGACACCATGTACAGGAGAGGAGTATTAGTGGGATGACTGCGGACACTATGTACAGGAGAGGAGTATTAGTGGGATGACTGCGGACACTATGCACTGGAGAGGAGTATTAGCGGGATGACCACGGACACTATGTATGGAGAGGAGTATTAGTGGGATGACTGCGGACACTATGTACTAGGAGAGGAGTATTAGTGGGATGACTGCGGACACCATGTACTAGGAGAGGAGTATTAGTGGGATGACTTCGGACACTATGTACGGGAGAGGAGTATTAGTGGGATGACTGCGGACACCATGTACAGGGAGAGGAGTATTAGTGGGATGACTGCGGACACTATGTACAGGAGAGGAGTATTAGTGGGATGACCGCGGCGGGACACTATGTACAGGAGAGGAGTATTAGTGGGATGACCGCGGACACTATGTACAGGAGAGGAGTATTAGTGGGATGACTGCGGACACTATGTACAGGAGAGGAGTATTAGTGGGATGACTGCGGACACTATGTACTGGAGAGGAGTATTAGTGGGATGACTGCGGACACTATGTACTGGAGAGGAGTATTAGTGGGATGACTGCGGACACTATGCACTGGAGAGGAGTATTAGTGGGATGACTGCGGACACTATGCACTGGAGAGGAGTATTAGTGGGATGACTGCGGACACTGTACTGGAGAGGAGTATTAGTGGGATGACTGCGGACACTATGTACGGGAGAGGAGTATTAGTGGGATGACTGCGGACACTATGTACTGGAGAGGAGTATTAGTGGGATGACTGCGGACACTATGTACGGGAGAGGAGTATTAGTGGGATGACTGCAGACACTATGCACTGGAGAGGAGTATTAGTGGGATGACTGCGGACACTATGCACTGCAGAGGAGTATTAGTGGGATGACTGCGGACACTATGCACTGCAGAGGAGTATTAGTGGGATGACTGCGGACACTATGTACGGGAGAGGAGTATTAGTGGGATGACTGCGGACACTATGTATAGGAGAGGAGTATTAGTGGGATGACTGCGGACACTATGTATAGGAGAGGAGTATTAGTGGGATGACATTAGGGCAAGTAATCTCTTCAGGTCACTGGTTCTCTTTAGCTGAGTGGTTGTCATGGCTACACACGCCAAAGGCGGCGACTCCAGCCAGGAAGCAAGCCGCCTGGAGCCGTTCCTTGGTTGCTACGGGAACTGGCCACGCCCTCCTTCTAGGCCGTAGGTGACGCTACCCGGAAGTGAGCTGGCGTTTCGCCGTGGTACGGCGGACCCGGAAGTGCGGCAGAGCCGGGTGGAATGGCGGCGGGACGCGGGAGCTGGGGACGAGGAGAGGGACATGAAGCAGCTGCAGGCGGACCTGAGGGAGCCGGGGAGCCCACAAGGGAGAAGCCCAGGAGACAGTAAGTGGCCGGGAAACAAGGCAACTTGACTGTAGGGGGTTTAGTGGGATTCGTAGTTCCCCAGCACCAGTGGAGACCGTGAAAACCTTCCAGAGCACAGCTCTCCCTGCTTGTGTGGGTTTCAGTATCTGACAGGGACTGGTGCTCTCCTCTCACCTTCTCTTAGTCAGGGGCTATAATATGGGCAGAAAAGGTAGATGTCTGGGGCCCATGGAGATACTAACAATACCTCAGCCCCGCGCTCTCCGTTCATCTGTCTTTATGTCCGTTTCTGCGTTGTCTGTGTTTAGACCCCTGGTGCCCAACCTGAGGCCCGCAACTGCTTCTTTGGCACTTTTTGTGCGGCCCTCAGGGATCTCTGCTAATGTGTTTCTCTATTGTCCATATTACATCATGTCATATTTTCTCCAGATGACTGAAGCATGGCCCAAGTCCCTCCTATAGCATGTCTGCGGCCTCTGACCGTCTCTTGCATCCCCCTCCGCGGTCCCTGACCGTCTCTTGTATCCCCCCCTCCGCGGTCCCTGACCGTCTCTTGTATCCCCCCCTTCCGCGCTCCCTGAGTCTCTTGTATCCCCCCCTCCGCGCTCTACCTGACCGTCTCTTGTATCCCCCCCTCCGCGCTCCCTGACCGTCTCTTGTATCCCCCCTATGCGCTCCCTGACCGTCTCTTGTATCCCCCCCTCCGCGCTCCCCCTGACCGTATGTATCCCCCCCTCCGCGCTCCCTGACCGTCTCTTGTATCCCCCCCTCCCGCGCTCCCTGACCGTCTCTTGTATATCCCCCCCTCCGCGAGCCCTGACCGTCTCTTGTATCCCCCCCTCCGCGCTCCCTGACCGTCTCTTGTATCCCCCCCTCCGCGCTCCCTGACCGTCTCTTGTATCCCCCCCTCCGCGCTCCCTGACCGGGACCTCTTGTATCCCCCCCTCCCGCGCTCCCTGACCGTCTCTTGTATCCCCCCTCCGCGCTCCCTGACCGTCTCTTGTATCCCCCCCCCCTCCGCGCTCCCTGACCGTCTCTTGTATCCCCCCCTCCGCGCTCCCTGACCGTCTCTTGCATCCCCCCCTCCGCGCTCCCTGACCGTCTCTTGCATCCCCCCTCCGCGCTCCCTGACCGTCTCTTGCATCCCCCCCTCCGCGCTCCCTGACCGTCTCTTGTATCCCCCCCTCCGCGCTCCCTGACCGTCTCTTGCATCCCCCTCCGGCTCCCTGACCGTCTCTTGCATCCCCCTCCGCGCTCCCAGTGACCGTCTCTTGCATCCCCCTCCGCGCTCCCTCCGTCTCTTGCATCCCCCCCCTCCGTCCCTGACCGTCTCTTGCATCCCCCCCTCCGCGCTCCCTGACCGTCTCTTGCATCCCCCCCTCCGCGCTCCCTGACCGTCTCTTGCATCCCCCCCTCCGCGCTCCCTGACCGTCTCTTGCATCCCCCCCATCCGCGCTCCCTGACCGTCTCTTGCATCCCCCCCTCCGCGCTCCCTGATCGTCTCTTGCATCCCCCTCCCGCGCTCCCTGACCGTCTCTTGCATCCCCTCCGCGCTCCCTGACCGTCTCTTGCATCCCCCCCTCCGCGCTCCCTGACCGTCTCTTGCATCCCCCCCTCCGCGCTCCCTGACCGTCTCTTGCATCCCCCCCTCCGCGCTCCCTGACCGTCTCTTGCATCCCCCCCTCCGCGCGCCCTGACCCTCCGTCTCTTGCATCCCCCCCTCCGCGCTCCCTGACCGTCTCTTGCATCCCCCCCTCCGCGCTCCCTGACCGTCTCTTGCATCCCCCCCTCCGCGCTCCCTGACCGTCTCTTGCATCCCCCCCTCCGCGCTCCCTGACCGTCTCTTGCATCCCCCCCTCCGCGCTCCCTGACCGTCTCTTGCATCCCCCCCCCTCCGCGCTCCCTGACCGTCTCTTGCATCCCCCCCTCCGCGCTCCCTGACCGTCTCTTGCATCCCCCCCTCCGCGCTCCCTGACCGTCTCTTGCATCCCCCCCTCCGCGCTCCCTGACCGTCTCTTGCATCCCCCCCTCCGCGCTCCCTGACCGTCTCTTGCATCCCCCCCTCCGCGCTCCCTGACCGTCTCTTGCATCCCCCCCTCCGCGCTCCCTGACCGTCTCTTGCATCCCCCTCGTTTTTCTTCATTCAGCTCACTGGCTGAACGAAAAAAAAAGCAAGCCATGCATGGCCAACTTAAAGGATATATATATCTGACATTTCATATTCCTGTTATCTGCCTGCCGTACCATGTACTTGTATGAAAAAGTATACTGTTCTCTTTGTGTGGCTTCCTTTGTGTGAAACACCTGGTGTCCCTGCCAGTCCCTCTGCTTTCCTATTAAAAACTGTCCACACTAGGCATGAGAGCACAGCATGGTCAGTTATTTATGCTGGGAGTGTGCTCTCCTCCAGTGCTCAAACTTGTTCCCTCCCCATCCCAAAATAGCTTTTCACTGGGAAAAGGATATTTATAATTTTTTTATTTTTTTTTATCCGCACACGAATGTTTGCCTTTCCTTTCTATTTTAAACTGAATGGGTTGTTCTACAAGGTGAGGGTTTGCATGGACTCTAATGCATGCAGGCTGAACAAGGGAGATCTAATAGCATCCTCCATTTGTACCCAGCAGTGTGAACGATGACTTCAGCCATGCCAACTATTGTATTCAGGCAGCTACAGTTCCATGGCTGAACACTCAGACAGTGGCTGCATCTGATTGGCTGTAGTTGCTGTTCAGCTGACAGTTTTGTACCTGGCTCCTTCCATTTTTCATCTAAAGGTTGTGGAGCCAATTCGTGCTGACAGGGCCTCCCATGGGTTGTATTTCCTCCAATTCAGCTGAAATGTGAGCTGTATATGGCCAGCTTTAATATGGACTGATGTTGGGGACCAGAGAGAGCAGATGGAGAGGTTATTTCTGAAATCTAGCAGTATTTATAAATGCTTCATACCAAAGAGGGTTGTATGGGAGACATTTGTTATTGAGGACAGGCACTGATTTGTGAATAAGTTCTTAATATGTTTAGATACAGTAATGACAGGACAGTAATGCTTGACAGAATACATTCAACCATTGAAATGGTTCTCTTCATTAGAAGATCTGTCAATCTAATGTCTGTCACAGTCTTACAGACACACCTTTATGTAACATACTAAACTGGTTAGTGTCTGTCGGAGGAAACTGGAGCATGTAGAGCAGCCTTTCTCAACCAGGGTTCCTCTGAACGTTGCTAGGGGTCCTTGAGCAAAGCAATCTCTGCCGCTAAATAACCACAGATAACAATAATTCTTCTAGCTATTTGAGTGTTCTCTCCACTGATCACCAGTGTAAAGAGGAAGGGGCTTGGCGTGGGGGGTGGGCACACTGACAACTAGTGTAAGGGGGGGGGGGGGGGGTGGCACTGACCACCGGTGTACGGAGGAAGGGGGCGTGACACTGACCACCAGTGTACGGAGGAAGGGGGCGTGACACTGACCGCCAGTGTAGGGAGGAAGGGGGCGTGACACTGACCGCCAGTGTAGGGAGGAAGGGGGCGTGACACTGACCGCCAGTGTAGGGAGGAAGGGGGCGTGACACTGGCCGCCAGTGTAGGGAGGAAGGGGGCGTGACACTGGCCGCCAATGTAGGGAGGAAAGGGGGCGTGACACTGGCCGCCAGTGTAGGGAGGAAGGGGGCGTGACACTGACTGCCAGTGTAGGGAGGAAGGGGGCGTGACACTGGCCGCCAGTGTAGGGAGGAAGGGGGCGTGACACTGGCCGCCAGTGTAGGGAGGAAGGGGGCGTGACACTGGCCGCCAGTGTACGGAGGAAGGGGGCGTGGCACTGGCCGCCAGTGTAGGGAGGAAGGGGGCGTGGCACTGGCCGCCAGTGTACGGAGGAAGGGGGCGTGACACTGGCCGCCAGTGTAGGGAGGAAGGGGGGCGTGACACTGGCCGCCAGTGTAGGGAGGAAAGGGGGCGTGACACTGGCCGCCAGTGTAGGGAGGAAAGGGCGTGACACTGGCCGCCAGTGTAGGGAGGAAAGGGGGCGTGACACTGGCCGCCAGTGTAGGGAGGAAAGGGGGCGTGACACTGGCCGCCAGTGTAGGGAGGAAAGGGGGCGTGACACTGGCCGCCAGTGTAGGGAGGAAAGGGGGCGTGACACTGGCCGCCAGTGTAGGGAGGAAAGGGGGCGTGACACTGGCCGCCAGTGTAGGGAGGAAAGGGGGCGTGACACTGGCCGCCAGTGTAGGGAGGAAAGGGGGCGTGACACTGACCACCAGTGTAGGGAGGAAGGGGGCGTCTCATTGTAGTGAGAGGGCATGCCTGAAGAATCCTATAATTGTTTAGTCAGGTAGACCCTCCCATACATAGATGTAGCTAAATCTACAGGAGGTTGTACAGTCCTATTACACTAACGTCTCCAGCTTTAGAGCCCTGCATTGGGTTAGAAGCTGGGCCAAAGGGGGTTTAGCAAATATCTGATGGTCCAGATGCAGAGAAGCCACTTGTGTAGGGCATTGATCTCTTGGCATCACTGTTAGTTTATTATAACATAGTTACAGGAATTTGGGTAACACTGAGAACTAGGCAAGTCCCAATTTCTGGGTAAATGCAGGTGACAAGGTGTCTCTGAGGACACCTATGCTAAAGTTCTGTCTGCAATGGTATGTGAAGAGATGATCACTGGGTGCCAAATGCAGCAAAATGAAATGTCTGTTCATTCTTAGTAGGAGAGATTGGGTGCAAGAAAGATTAGTGACCTGCCGGTGCCTATGTGGTCCTCACTGGGATCTTCAGCACTCTGTACTGTATGAATGAGGCCTGTGTTGCAGGCGTCTCTCATTCACAAGGCCTCCAGTGTTTGGGTCCTGCTGCCCCTAGCAGGGAGTGTTCCAGACACGTACAGTGTACACCTTTGTATTCTGCACTCCATGTACTGTACATAGGACATTGATATGTGAAGGCGTTGTTAATCATTACAGGCTCCTTTCAATGCAGGTATTTTGGGTGTGTGTATGGTCTGTGAGTTGAATGAGAATTATGCACGTCATTGCTTTCTCCATGTACCTCTTATGTAGACATTGTTCTCCAGCACAGCTGAATTCTCATAGTTAACACTGTCAGTGCTGATAAGTCATCCTTTATGTTTCATTTATTTTCATTATTTGTTTCTGCAAATGATTTCCATCCTCAAGTAAAGTGTTCTTGGACATCCTTTCACTGCCTTGGGGAACTTGTATGTGCCAAGTCTGTTAGTGTTTGAATTATATGAAATACAACACTTAAAAACTGTCTATTTTGAAGATTTCTCTGGAATGTCTGGCCACAGTTGCCAGCTCCATGCAGCTTTCTGAATATGTGGGAGATTGCAGTAAAAGGTAATTTTCTACAGCTGCTTACTCAACTGTGACTGCTTAAATCTTAAAGTGAATTTATAATGCTCAGGAAGTAGATGGAGGTAGACGTGGCATTTCATACTGGTACAGACCCGTCGGACTGGCTTGTCCTAATCTTCTGATAGAAAGGCAGATAAAGGCATTTTTCTAATAACTGGGTTATAGAGAGCAAGCAGTGAGAATGCACATGACAGTGACAATTAAAAGAAGTGACTACAGGATCATAAAGATAATGTCCTACACATAAACGTAAGGATATTGTCATTGGGTTGTCACATCTCATCATGGTCTAGGGCAATAAACAGCACAAGTTGGTTTACATAAAAGATTTTTTATAGTGTACATAGGTGAAATGTTTCAAGGGATGATCGGTTTTCTACAAACTGGGGTGTTGCATTGGAAAATCCTTATACATAGATGACGTCCTCCTGTTCAGTGATCCCTAAACAGAAAACTAGCAACTGTCTCTTTGTACCTAGATTAGTGTAACTAAACCCAAAAACAAATGTAATCTAGTGTAGTTTACAAATCATTGGAGGTGGTGACTGCATTAGTTTTATTTTTTTTTTAGACTTTTATTCCTTTATTGTCACCTGGTGATCGGCCAGTAACACACCTCCTGTCTTAGGATATCTACATTCACTCCACATGCACAACATTCAGTCCACTGCAGCTATGGAGGAGTAGCATAGCCACCCTTGGACAGCAGCATTGTCAATCAGTGGATAGGGTGATGTTGAATGGACTTTACATTAGTTACTAACAATGTAAAACCCTACTCCAGCTAACATGTTTTAAACAGTTACTGTCATTGTTTTTTTTTTTTCTTTTTGGAATAAACGTTTTACATAAATAATGGCTGACGATTGTAAGTACCCCTGTCAGTGGTAAATTGCCTCCAATTGCTGTTAAAGGAAGGTTGAAAAACAAAAGACTTACTGTCAGTATCACTGGGTAATAAACTATGTTATGGTAGGGACTTGGTGGAGAAAAAGACTGCTATGTTGATGCCACTGACAGACTGTATCATATGTCTTTTTTTTATTTTGGCCATAGTCCCACTTTATGTTCCTGCATGGGTCAATAAACTGCACGTCAAAGTTCCAGTGGTTCTAAAGGCTTCTTTTTTGTTTTGTGTTTTTTTCTAAAATAACAAACATGTTATATTTAACTGCTCTGTGGCACAGAATGACCTGAAACCACCTCTTCTGTGGTCCCCTGCCGGCTCTCCAGGCTACTCTTCTTCTCTGAGTATCCCCATAGTAAGCCGCTTACTATGGGGGCACTCACGCGGACTCGATCCCAAGCCAGGCTGTGTGTGTCTATTGACACACGCAGTATGGCTTGGCTCTGCCTCTGCTGTCTCCTCACTAAATTTGACTGACAGCAGCAGGAGCCAATGGTTCCCACTGCTGCCTGTCAGTCCATGTGTGAAGCGGGGGAGAGGAAAAAGAGGACTGCAGCCGGGCACATCGCTGGATTGATCCAGGAGTGAGGAAAGTGTTTAGGGGGGGCACAACAACTCCTAAAACGTTTTTGTACCTTAATGCAGGGAATGCATTAAAGTAAAAAAATGGTTTAGCTTTAGAACCACTTTCAGTAACATCAAATGCTTCACTTTATGTTTCGGACTTTCGGATATGTTGTTTGCTAATATTTTTTTCAATTGAATAACCTTGTATTGGCTCTTCTTTCTTTTACAGGGGTGAATCGTCGCCTCAAATACATGAGCCTGGCTGTGTTGGTGGTACAGAATGCTTCGCTCATCCTCAGCATCCGATATGCCCGCACCCTGCCTGGGGAGCGCTTCTTCTCCACTACTGCTGTGGTCATGGCAGAAATTCTGAAGGGCATCACTTGCCTGATCCTCATGTTGGCCCAGAAAAGAGGTACATTGTGTGATTGTTCTGGACTCAATGGAGGGATGTTATGGCTTAACATCTGATTGACTTTGCCATAATTATTTTTATTTGCCTTGAATTTTGTCATATTCTTTTGTTTTGCATGCTGAGCTAAACAGATCCATGCAGTAGACCTAAGGTAACCACCTTGTGGGCTTTAAAGTTTTTTTTTTGCTGAAGTTCCTACAAGGTGTTTGCTGTTATTTTCTTAACCCAGGTCTGTTTATCTGAGGTGTTGACTTCTGTGACTTTGGAGATGAGCACCATCCTCAGTGTTAGGCCCAACCCACCGCCTCACCTCTGATAGGGCTGTTATTGTGCTGGATAGTGGGATTCTGTCTGGTAGGCAATTTCATCCAGAGGTGAGGCTTAACCTGCAAAGTAGGCATTGTGGGAAGCTGTACTGCTTTGAGAGGTGGGCTATTGAAAAGTCTGCAAACAAAACTTTTCAAATGTCCATTTCTATAATCTATATTTTATCACAAGTAGCAGATGTTCTTGTAGAGTTCTTTGCTGTATTGTGAGTGCTGCCCCTCCTTTCTTTGCTGTTATTAGCAAAACGCATGATGGACTGCTATAGTAATGGCTTATTGTAAACATTTTATTTGTTAATAGCAGGAAAAGTGTTTTTCTTGATGACAGTGCCTCTTTAAAGTTGATTATAGTATACACCCTTCTTCGTTCACTTGCAGATCGATTATCACAGGGCATTTGCAATGTTGTCAAGACATAACTAGCATTTTTTTCATTACAAGAATGGCATTTGGATCAAATCTCCAGATTAAAACATTCCTATATTATCCTTTAGTAATTAATATCACTATATAATAAAAGCAGTTTGTAATTTTTTAATGCTGATGTTTAGCTAGGAAAAAAAAAAAATCTGTGGAACAGTGGAGAAATCTTCACTGCATGGATGCCATACCCTCTTCCTGTCTCTGAAGTTGCAGTGTCGCAATGGTCAACAGATTCAAGTCATTGGGCAGAAGTGTTTTATTCTTCCTGATTTGTGTTCTGCCCCTTCTCATAAATATTGCTGAGGCTTTTAAAAAATGGCTTGCATGCTGTATGTGCAAAAGGTAATTATTGCAATGATACTAATAATGATGCTCTTTTTATATTTCATGCAGGCAATGTCAAGGAACTTGTTGTGTATCTGTATGATGCCATCATTATTCAGTATATGGACACCCTGAAGCTGGCAGTGCCCTCTCTTATATACACATTACAAAATAACCTTCAGTATGTGGCAATATCGAACCTTCCGGCAGCCACGTTTCAGGTGAGACTTGCCCTGTCTCTTTAGCAGGTCAGAACACCTATCCCTTTCCTTGTTTCACATTTATTGATAAAGCAGCAACAGAACACACTTTGGACCTTTTAGGTAAAGGCCTGTCTGAGACGAGTCCTAATCAATTGGTAATTCTGCAACTGTCATTTTGCAGCACTGGTTTGATCAGCTGTTTTTCCTAGGTTTGTTTTACCTGACAAAGAAATGATTATGTACAGCAAGGAACTGTTGATTGAGGCTTACTGCTAGCTAATTGGAAAGAGGTCAGGTTACTAAACTATTATCCAGCAAGCAGGCTGAAGGCCGAGAGGTGGCATAATTTCTAAACCAGGATTTAAATGTGTTACCTGCTTAGTTGTGCAGGGTAGCAAATGCATGTTAATCTCAAGACTGGCTCAACAGTTACAAATCCTTTTGTCAGATAAAGTAGTAGCTATATATTTTCTAAATTGTTCCTTGATATCAGTTTATGTACCCTAACCCTCCAGTATGCTATGTGCCAATGCTACTCACTAACACCTAAATGTGGCTTTTTATTTGTTCCCATTGTTGTGCTCCTTCACCTCTTCACACAAACATGTCTCTCCATTCACAGGTTACTTATCAGCTGAAGATTTTGACCACAGCTCTGTTTTCTGTCCTCCTCCTGAGAAAAAGCTTGTCGCGGCTCCAGTGGGGATCCCTGGTTATCCTCTTTATTGGGGTGGCCATTGTGCAGTCTGAGCAGTCTGGTGGAAAAGAGACCTTATCAGCGAGCGGACAGAACTACGTCAAAGGCCTGATCGCTGTAGCTGTATCCTGCTTGTCTTCTGGCTTTGCAGGAGTTTACTTTGAACGCATCCTGAAAGGCAGCTCGGCTTCAGTATGGCTTCGTAATGTCCAACTTGGCATATTTGGCACAGCTCTTGGACTTTTGGCCATGTGGCAGCAGGATGGACCTGCTATAGCTGAACGTGGCTTTTTTTTTGGGTACACACCACTGGTCTGGTGCGTCATCTTCAACCAGGCCTTCGGAGGTCTCCTGGTAGCTGTGGTGGTGAAATATGCTGACAACATCCTGAAAGGCTTTGCCACATCGCTGTCCATTGTGGTCTCCACGGCGGCATCTGTCCACCTGTTTGGATTCAACGTAGACCTACCTTTCGCAGTGGGAGCTGGCCTGGTTATAGGGGCAGTATATTTATACAGCCTTCCAAGGACACCCGATCCTGCCTTGTCTAGTGTCAATCAGACTTCCTCACATAAGGAGGCCTTTTTACCAAAGTCAGTGCTCACCAAATGAAGGAATTAATTGCCATATCTAATTGCCCTCCTGCAATCCTTCCATTCCCCTTTTTTTCTTGATACTTAGGTGTAAAGGGTGGTGCTATGCACCCAGATGGGGAGAGGCTTGTGGAACTGTGTTTACAGCAACACACCAAGGCCTCTCTGAGGGGAAGTCACCATGGTTGTTACTCTAATGCCCCCTACTGGTATTATAAATCTGCTGCTGGGATACTGACATCTGTATGTGGGCTCCCTTCTTTATTTTCCCATGTGGTGTCAGTTCTTTCTATACCAAGATATAGACTTTGAATCTGTGTATTATACAACATACCAGTATGCACATGTATATACGCATTTGGGTACTTTCAGTATCTCTGTATTTGTATATAGATTGTTGGTGTTGAAATGATTTGTATATGTGTGTGTGCGACTATCTAAGCCTTCATGAGTATGCGTGTGTCTGTGTGAACTTGTTATTCCTGTAAAGAGGACCTGCACTTTTGAGCTAAAGTATCCATCCATGAACTTGATGCAAGTTATGAAATGTTCCTAATACTTTGCCTTTCATGGTAACATTGCATTTAGGGACATTTTTCCTATTTGACTGCTTTCTCTCAGGAGTTAAAAGGCTGGACAGTAAATTGAAGGGAGCTCATAGCTCTAAAAAATAGATGCTTTTGCCAAAAAAAAGCAGATTTAAAATTGTCACAGCTTGCATAATCCTGATGATCGATACTTTCATGTGTATAAGGTCCTTTTTTAAGTGGATCCGTTAGTCAGCTGGTAGTGTCTGCTATTTTGCTATCTGTAGCAATGTTGATAGATGAATCAGTGAACCAGCTTTCACAATTGCTACCCCCATTGTGACTAGACTTCTGATCCACTTTAAATCCTTTTTACACATTATGTGTACTTGAATTGATATATTCCTGTATATTCACAGGTATATGAACAGAGTGTTCCCAATCGGGGACCTTCCTGCTGGTGCCTAAATAATTCTTGGGGTACACATTTTATTGAATTAACCTCATCCCTTCACACCCCCCCCACACCAACAATGTATTATATCCACTGGTGCAGCATGCCTGCTGAATGTGTTACATTTAGCAATCTTTTGTTACATTCTTTGTCAAATACCCTTGCCCCAAGAGTCAGTCTGCCGAAGATTAATATTGCACTTGTGGGCGCTGTTGTCCTGGATCCCCCCTTTTTGATTTTTTACATGTCTAGCCAACTACACGATCTCCCTTCTGGTCTTTTGACTCTGCCCTTACCATGAAAACACCAACAGGCTTGGTGAAGCCACATTTGAATGGCCAGAGCTGGGAGCTCAAAGACAGACATCTCTCCCCTTTAGTTTCCTAAGGAAGCTGGTGAGTGATATAATGCGCTAGCATCCACCCAGAACTGAAATGTTAGTTTTGATTTTATTATCCCCATTGATATGATTGTATGACAGTATACACAGCTTGACTTTTAAAGATGTATATGAACCCAATGACTGTAAGGAGTGCTGTGATTGCTTGCTAGTGCTGATGTGATTGGACAGTTAAACATCTACAATCTGTGGCAGCTTGCTGTCTATTAAGGGTGTGTATTTAATGAGTGGGTGTGTCTGGATCATTGATTATTTTACATATTAGTCATTGGCAAGACTTTGATACATTGATTGTTAAGTAAGAATGTACAAGGCCATTGATTGGCTGATGAGAATTTCTTGTGGAGTTTATATTATTTCAGCTTCTTGTTTATTAATTCAGAAGAGGCCAATGGTGTGTCTTGGTTACACTAGCTGTTCATTGGTTACTCAAACTATGCATGTGTGTTGTTGTTCAGCCTACATATGCTTAACCACTGCAAGCTTGTTATGTCAACTAGAGACTTTTTTTGGCTGACAGAAAAAGGAACATCTGCTGCAGTGTGCATGCGTTGTACCTGTTTCTTGAGCAATCTTGCCAAGACAGGTGCCTGTCTCTGTCCATGCCAAGATCACCACTGGTTAGCTCATGGGATTATGCGTGTACATATTGCGATTGGTCAGTATCAAGCTTTTATTTTTCTTAGCATGGCTTGTATGTTTACATTTAAAGGGGTTGCTGCCATCCTCATCATTGCTTCATGACGTAATGGGTCACTGACCTAGAACATGTAGGTGCATAATAGGTACCTAACCCAGGTCTTACATCACTGGCTGCATGTTTGTCCTGCTTCAGTGACTTGCTAGTAGCAAAGCAGGAATGATGGCAACTGCACAGTCCGCACCTAGGGAAAAAAAAAAAGCAGTGGCAGCACTCACGTTTTTGTACTGAACTAGTTTAGTTTTGTTAGTAACTTTCTTTGAGTTGCATATTGTATTGCAGCTAGGAAAAGACGATTGGGAAACCACTGGTAGAGCTGGTTGCTATGGTGGGCAGGGCTCTGAATGATGTGTTTGGGTACAGGGAAGCCTTTTTAATTTCTTTTATTGCACAAATGCCTCATTCTGCCTGATATCCACTAATATTCCCCATCATGTGACGGGCTCCCCCTAAGTGACGCTGTCCTTCCCCCTTCTTTCCCGCCTCTGCTCTGCATGTCTTTTTTTTTTTTGTTTGTTTGTTTTTATTCTTGTACTAAACATTTAACTGTTCAAATGTAAAATAAAACCGTTTGTATTTATTACCATTTTTTTCCTTCTATATTGTCCGAGTTTTTATTACTGACGCAGTGCTGACTAACCTCACCTCCCCTGTCCTCTGGTACATGCGGGAAGAAGGGCTAAAAATGCATGTCGGGGAACACGTATGTATGATCAAAAAAAAAAAAAACTAGAAGGAAAAATACAGTATGCTCATACCAGGCATGTCATAAAACTTATAGAAGGGATTTACCAGTACTGAGCCTCTTATATTTGTACGTTGGTTATCACTTTCCTTGAAAGTGTAAGGCCCTGCTCACAACTAGAATTTTAAGGGTACTTCCACTGTTGTGTGTAAAAAAAAAAAAAAATTATATATTTTTTATAATTTAACATATAGCTCATACAAATTGCTACACAAGCCATATTGTATTTTAATGTTATTAAATATTACCTTTCATTTTCAAACTGCAGCCTCTGTAATTATCTCTATGATTGAATGTAATATGGCAACTTGGAGGCACTCTACACATTTGATGTACAGAACACCCCCAAAAATGTCATTTTCTGCTTGGACAAAGAACTCTGCACTAAGACACAAGTCAGGTTTTTTGGCATTCTCCTCATCATATTTAGTGAGATACTCCCAAACGGTTAAAGGGATGAAGACCCTACAACTGTTCTCATCAGAACACAGAGTGCACTAGCTGATTAACATGAATTGGTCACTCCCATTCAGAACCAGTGTCCAAAAGACATAATGGAACAAATGCCCATTCCTTCATAGCAGAAACTGGCAGGAATCTGCAAAAAAGTTTGTTCAAATTCCTTCAGTGTACATTGATTTTTTTTTTTTTTTTCTCAACAAAAGTGGAATTGCTCTTTAAAGAAGAAAAAAAAAAGAGATCCTCCATAGTGCAACACTGCATAATTCAAGTAAAAAACGTCAAGTTCCAACTCACATTTCCTGAGGTAGCCACGGGGGCATGGCGTAACGCGTAGATGCGGCGTGGTGACGCACTTCCGGTCAGCGTCATCTTGGTACACCAGAGTGCATCCAGTACACCTATGTAAGGTGGTGTGTAAAGCGTGTCACTATCTGCTGAAATGTGAGTTGGAACTTGGCGTTTTTTACTTGAATTAATTAAATATGCAGTGTTGCACTATGGAGGATCTCTGTTCTTTTATTGTATGATTCCAACATCATATATATGGGCATATACATGGCTACCTGTGCATGGAGGAGTAGCTGAAATTGAAGGAGAGACCATTGGGGCTTGTGGAACATACCTTACCTGGAGAGTGCGTGCAGGATCCTGGGTGATCCAAAAAAGCGGTTTGGCCCCTGCGGATCGCAGGGGGAAGGTGAGCGGGCATGCCTGCTAATTAGGATTAACACTCACCACTGGCACCAGCACAGGACCACGCTTGGAAAAGCCTTATATCGTGTGTGTGTTTTTTGTGCTGCTAATTTTGAATATACTGGTTTATTACGGGTATTGGCAAACATCACGATAATTAGATCACCTATACGTGGTAGTCCATATCCCTATATAGGGAATCACTGTGTCACTTTTTTTGGATGTTCACTTGGATATAGGTTCAATGTTGAACCCTCTTTGCACTAATAATCACTTGCTAATGTCACTTGATAAGATCTGGTTGATCTAAACACTAATATCACTCTAAGTGTATTATCATATATTGTTCCATGTTCTATAGTAACCTTGTATCCACCTAGTAGATATACAGCGCTACATCAATATTATATAGATTTGCCTATTTACCCAACCTGAGGTGAGGATTGGATGTTAGCTGCTGTGGCTTAGATCTTGTTGTTTATAGCAGCGCAGGAGGATTTGATATAATATTTCAAATCTGTCTCTTATTTGCTTGCTAAATTTCTGTCACTAAATTCATCATTCCTGAAAGAAAAAGTTAGTGTCTACGTAAAAGTGCCCTGTATGGAAGCGGTTAACAGTACTGTGTTTTGCTGATTGACAGGTACATTTCAATTTTTTTTTTCTTTGCTGGGGTAAAAATAAGTTTTAATATGTTGAGGGCTTTTTATCCTGTAGATGGCTCTCAGGTGTCACCTTAAAATAGTTACATTTCATGTTCCTTTTCATAGTTTGGGCCAAGCTATTTCTATTAATTTGATGTGGCCATTGTATGTGCTGTAATCTACTGTAGAAGAATTAATTACCAACAGCAAGTGGCACTGTGTTCCATCAGCAGTACAGGTGATTTCCTGTCTGCTATCAGAAATAAGTGCTTCTCTGCCATTCAGGAGATTGGTTGAGGAAAATCGCGAATGTCCTCTGCCTGTCTCAGATGAACTCTATTCATTGCTAAACATACAAGGCTTCTGCATGGTGTAGAAGCGTTTAGCTCAACTC